ATTGTGAAGCTGCGATTTATTGCAGATTGTCAGTATGCATGTGTTTGTGCATGTGTGTGTGTGCGCTCGTGGAGTTGCAGATGGCGCTCTGTTGGATTAAGGCACATTACATCATCATTAAGCTCTGCTAGTAACGCAGCAACTAGTATAGTCTATGTAAAGTACCTTATATTGCATCAATATTAATCTAGATATGTTATATTCAGGACTTACTGTGTCCAACACCTTTTTTTCCTCCCACCTCATACATAAAACATTTCAACAACAACATAAAAAATATTAATACATGACAAGTTAATCTAATTAGTAGGTTTTAATTCTCAGGTTTTTTTAGCAAAATTATTTTAATTTGTACACTTGGGTAATATAACTAACTACCGGTATGTTTCTAGATCTGAATCTCTACAGTCTATGTAGATGCCATGCATCATTTCTAGCTTTTTTCCTACTTTGCTACAACTACGGGAGGCTTTGAGGGTCACCCTGTCCCACCTGTGTTCAAAGCTGGTGATTCTGTTACAGCTGTAGTGAAATCTTCATCTGAAGTGTCAGTCACTGCTGGCATTAAAGACAAACAATAGCAAATTAATACGCATTTGAAATTAACACCTGCAGGCATTGATCTGAAACAGCAACAGAAGAACCACAGACAGACTCTGATTTTATGCTGTCAAATGTTGATTATTCCTTCTTGAGATCTGTCTTCTGATCATATACACTACTGTTCAAAAGTTTGGGGTCGGTGAGATGTTTTATGTTTTTGAAAGAAGTCTCTTCTGCTCAGCAAGGCTGCATATATTTGATTAAAAATACAGTGAAAACAGTAATATTGTGAAATTCAATAAAAAAAAAACGGTTTCTGTTTGGATATATGTTAAACTGTAATTTATTCCTGTGATCAAAGCTGTATTTTCAGCATCATTACTCCAGTCTTCAATGTCACATGATCATTTCACAAATCATTCTAATATGATGATTTGCTGCTTTCTGATTATTATCAATGTTGAAAACAGTTGTGCTGCAGAATTGTTTTTGTGGAAACTGATACTTTTTTTCATGATTCTTTGATGAATAGAATGCCTTTACTCTAGAATTTTTGATTAATTTTATCCATGCTATATAAAAGTATTAATTTCTTTCTAAAAATTCATACTGATCCCAAACCTTTGAACAGTATAGTATACAAAACAAATACTGACCTATATATTTTTAAGATGTAATGTTGGAACTTTGACTCATGGCATTCGCTTAAATTAATGTTTGTTTGAATTATGCTAATTTTCCTAAATGAAAGAGAGAATGTCTTCCTGTCATTTCCTGTGGTGTTTGTGTGTACTGGTTTGTGGCTATTGCCCAACTGACCAACCAGCATCCAGAGGATCAGACTCGCCGCTCTGACCTCGTAATCCCTGTCTGAACACACACACTGACCCTGTATAATCCCTGTGTGTGTGTGTGTGTGTGTGTGTGTGCGTGCGTGTGTGTGCGTGTGTGTGTGCAATGACAGAGGTGAGTATATGCTGCGTCGTTCTGTTCTGGTTTCTGCTTTTCTTTAAACAGAATACAACAGTTAACGGTAACCTGTGTCATGTGGATCATTTACAACGAACTATAGGTTACAACACATACCCTGGCCTACATATCATCTCCCCTCTTCTTGCACATTTGAGTGTGTGTGTGTGTGTTTGTGAGAGATGTTCCCCTGTGTGGAAGACCTGTAGACCTTTAGACTACAGGGGAGAGAAAACACGGACATGATCTATGAGTTTGATTTCTCTAGGCCATATGCCACACACACACACACACACACACACACACACACACACAACTCAAAAAGAGCCATGTGTAGTTAGTTGCCTTACACAGAAACACACACTCTGTCTGTTATGCTGCTTTTTAAAAATGGAATTCCGTCACGTCACAGTGAATTTGAGAGTGTCAGGATTGCATTCTAAATTCTAATGTGGCTCCAGTGACAATGGGACATCATTTCCTGTTGATTCCCACACTTCATTTTCCTGAATGGCAGCTCAGATGCACCAGCGTCATGTCGCCGGAAGGCAGTTTAAAGCTTTACGACGTTACACAAACGCTCTTAAATTCCCGAGCTCCACTTCCACTAAGTGCTTTTCCGCAGGAACACAGACAGCTTTAAAATTAGACTAACGCTACGGCGACAGGATCTACTCAGCATTCCTTGAAAAATGCTCCGCCACAACGCATAAATCAAGCCAGTTTGAGAAAACTTTCGGACTGAGTTAAATTGCATGTATTTTGTAAACCGTTCTGGAGTTATGAGTGCTTCGAGATCCTTTAAATGTGTTTGAAATAGTGCTAGATACTTTCACACGCACACACACACACACTGAAAGACAACTGCTGAAAAGTTAAAGTAGCAAGCAACTGTTGAAGGAAAACAATTGTAGAGATATCGCTTAGAAATATTTGTTTATCATAGTTCCTGTAAATATATCATAGTTAGTTATAGTTATTGTTGTAAAACCACTATAAACATAGGAAGCTTTCTTTATTTGTTTTTGTTCTGTAATTTTCTTTTTAACATCTTACTGTATTGACAACAATTGTCTCATTTGTGCTTATTTTTTACTGTAAAGAAAAAATTATATTTTCATTTAAAAAAACCTTTTAAAGGTGCAAAACGCAAGTCTCTGAGTTTTTGCAGAACTACGCCCCCTCTGGCGACAAGCGAAACTGCAACCAATTCTGATTGTACATGTATCTAGCTTACGCTAAAGCATTACACATTTTACGCATCATCATTTGTTGTCATACATAGATTGGCCGTATCAAATATTAGAGACTGGGCTATATCTTACCGTTTTATCAAGAAAAAAGCCAACTGAGGATCCCGTTTGAGACCAAGAGCAGACCGGAGATCTCTCCATTTGTTGAATGCCTTCCCGAGGTTGACTCTCGTCTTACTCCGACGCCTGTCTCACTCCAATTTGGACCTTGTGGTGGCACTAGACAAAATGTTTATTTTCTTTACTTTACGTGGAGTTTGCGTTGGGGTTTGGAATGGACTACAAGCCGGTCTCTTTGAATCCATCTTCTAACTTTGACGCACGAGTTGTCTTCGCTGATGCGGAGAATGGCGGCGCCGACGAATACACAAATCTGGGAGACATAGCCTGGTGAGCGTGAACGCGCATGACGTCATGCCCAGTCTCAAATTCGAGCCCGAATCCCTCTTATATATTTTACTGTACAGGATTATAGAGGCAATCTCAGTGCGCAGAGAAGGGCTCATTCAGCCCATCAGGCATTTCTTTAAGCATGTATAGGATAGAAAAACAGGTATTTTTAACATGAAAAGTTGCGCAATGCACCTTTAAATTACTAATTAAATTAAAATATAGTTAATATGTACAATTAAGCATATATAGCTAGAATATAAATAATAGATAATTAAAATAATCCACTGTTTTTTTAGTATTAGTTATACACTTTTATAGTATATTTTAAATATTTTGATTTAGCCTTTTTTATATACATTTTCAGTTTTCATTCTGACGTTACTTTTAGTAATTTTATGTGCTTTTGTAATGTAATTTTGTTTTTATTTTTTTATATTTAGCTTTTTTATTCAGTTTAGTGCCTTAACTAACTGAGATAAAATAAGTGCAAGTAGAAGTTTTTTATCTAATATTTTACTTTATTTCATTTTTATTTCAATTAACAAAAGCTTTAATTTTCACTCTAAAAATGCTGGGTCGTTTCAACCCATGTTTGGGTCAAATATAGACAAGCCCTAGCCTGGTCCTACCAGACTCTCATTTCATTTGTACAGAGAGACTGGCCAATCTCCATTGACAAGCTAACTTGCTTGAAGGCGGGAACTCTGTTGAAGTTTAAAACTATTGGATCTGCCCAGAGCCACTCTGGATCTGCCATAACCAATCGCTAGCGTTCGCCTTAGCCAACTCATTCACCACTACCGGAGCGAGCTGGAAAATCAAACTTTTCCCGAACCCCGTGGGGAGGAGGGCCACAACATCATGGCCACCAACAAAACTCAGCAAAGATTGTTCTTGCTCCGGCTTTAACTTCTGGATATTCGGCAGCGTTGCCACAACGGCCCGAATGCCTTCGCTCGCATCTTTCTCCTCCGCCATTACTGAACCACAACTCAAACTAGCGCACGACCTCAACGTCATCGTTCCCAGCCACTCCCTCTGTTTGCTGATTGGACAGGTAAAAATTGGCCGGAGAAAACCTCAGATTATACCGCAAACCCAGACGACGTACTGAAGGAAAATGAAAATTGAGCGGAAGTACGTAGGAGGGCGGAGCCAGGCTAGACGAGCCCAACCGTTAGTTTAAATTAAACAGGTTCATTTAAACCAATGGTTGGGTTCATCCATATTTGACCCAAACATGGGTTGAAACATCCCAGCATTTTTAGAGATCTGATTGACATTTTAGTTTTATAAGACCAACTTACCACAGTTTTACTGTAACAATAACTCCAGTAATGGTGATATGGGGGGGAATTATGGTTATCATGGTGAATTTCTGCAGGGGTGTTTCTGACAGCAAACCACCAGCTGTACTGTTGTTTTCTGGGAAATCCCTTCTTAGATGTTGGCTGAGATTGTGTGTGTGTTTAGTGCATGTAATGATGTAGGCGTGTCCTCAGAGTAAATCTCTAATTTCTCTTATTCTCTTTGAACCCTTAAGGAATCACGTCATCTTTCCTGCGTCTCTCTATGTTCCTTCCTCTTCCTCTGTATCTCCCTTCATCTTTCTTCATCTTTCTTCCCCCTGCTCTCTGATGTTAGGCTGAATTGCGGCTAGATTCGGTGATTTGACGATGATGAAAGCCACGGGACGGGCGGCCCATGAAAAATGAAGAAGACATAACGAGGGATGGAGCACAGAGACAACGAAGAAAGGGAGAGCGAGGGATGACTGACACATCAGAGAGAGAGAGAGGATGAAAGAGCCATCCTCTCGTTTCTTAAGGGTTCTGTACTTACTGGAACCAGAAGAAGAGCCAACCAGCGCCTGAGAACCTGAGAGAGAGAGAGAGAGAGAGAGAGAGAGAGAGAGAGAGTGTCAGTGTGTAAAGTATTAAAGAAATGTATGTACATTTTTAGAATAACTAATTTCTACATTAAACACAACAATACGCCAACGCATTCGCGACTCTCCTGTGATTATAGGCGACACTTCCGGTTTACTTCCCACCGGAGCCTCGCTTTCAATTTCAAAATAACGGCTGCGTGAAATCAGCGTATTATGACCATATAAAGATATAAAAATTGTTCTAAATGTAAAAGAATAGCAGAGCCCACACCACACTTATGACGATACCGGCACAGACGAACGATATCATTTGGAATCAGAATAGTGTTGTCCAGCCGATGAACGATAAAAACATTGCCAGCCAATCAGAATCCATCCTGCTTTAATGAGCTTGAGCATTTAAAGCGACAGACGACAAAACTGAAGCGCGCGCTTAGAATAAACAGAACGATTTCGTCGGCTGGTTGACGCTAATATACTTTCATCTTTACAGTTATCGTTCTTCGTGTCATATTATATAGTGCAAAAGTGTAAATAATTCAAGATTTTTAATTTGGCTATTAGTGCTGCTATCAATTTTAAGTAGAAAAGAAAATGTAACAAAGCACTTTACAATAAGATCTTATTTGTTAACATTAGTCAACTACATTAGTTAACATGAATTAATGATAATAAATACTTATATAGCCTTTATTAATCATAGTTATTGTTAATTTCAAGACTTACTAATACATTTAAAAAAAATCAAAAGTTAATCTGTTAGCATCAGCTAATGCATTGTGAACTTACATGAAAAACGATGAACAATTGTTTTAATTGGTTTAAGTTAACAACAACATCGCTAGTTGTGAATTTGCATGCGAATTTGAATGTACACATGAATATAAATTTTTATGTTAATGTGTATGTGAATTTAAATATTAAATGAAATATGCATATATTAAATAAATTATACAAACAATCAAACAAACAGTAATTTTGATCAGATGCTATGCTTGTTGCAATGCATTCAGGCATTCAATATTTTGTCCTGTTTTACCCCAAAAAATTGGCCAAATGCAGCCTAATTTAAAAATAGGCCTCTACACATGAAACACATTCATTTATAATAAACACTGCAGCTTTCCATGAAAAATAAGAACTGTCAGTTTTGATTTCATAAGCATACAGTATATTAAATAAATATATGCATAAATTAAATTATAAAAATAATCAAACAGCAATTTTAATCACTGTGTTCCATGCCCTTTTTTGCTATCTAGGTAGGCAGCTCACTAGGTTTTGGAACAGAGCTAGTGTATTAAGGCCAGATAAATATAACGATAAAGATATACTTCTAAATATCATTCTAGTGGTTCCTGTTGAGACAGTGATTAGTGCAGATTTGGGATGCTTTCTCCACAGAGGAACCTGTGCGTGTGTGTTTCTGGTGGAGTGTGTTTTGTAGGCTGGGAAGGTGTTGTGCGTCTGCGCGCTTCTCTTCTGTTCTCTGGGAATTGGGCCGCCACACCAGCAGTCTTGATCTTACTGTGAGCTGACAGGTCTGTGAAGTCTAAAAGGCTCTGCAGCGCTCTGGTGTGTAAGTGAAGTGAGTCGAGATCTGCAGTCTGCTGAATTCATCTGTGTGTGTGTGTGTGTGTGTGTGTGATGCCCTAGATTATTATTTTATCATGAGTGCTGCTGGTAAAATGGAGGGATGTTGTGTTCCAAAGGATCTCCCTTTGGATACTGTACAGAAGGGAGGAAAAATGAAATCCGTGTTCATTTTTGCTTTATCTCTTTTTCTCATTCCATCGCTCTGCCCTTATCCGCCTTTTTTTCTTTGTCTTGCTTTTGGTTTATCTCTCCTTTCAGTCCCTCCTGATCGTTTTGTCCACATTTTCAGGGATAAATCAGACCCAGGCTGGTGGATAACCGTCCGTCTGGTTTCTCTCTGTGTGTGTGTGTGTCGGAGTGTAAAGATCTCTGAAGCTCAGAGGAATTCTGGTCGAGGAATTCTGAACCCAGAAAATAATGAGGAAATTTCGGTATGACGGGCTTAGATAAGCGAGACCTATATGATTTCGGAGAGATAATTAATTCTCTTTTATAGTAGAATAGAATATTATCTTGCTCAAATCTGATTATTGTGTGTGCCTGATATTCACACACTTGATGCAATTGATTTCGCAACATTCACAACAGCAACTAGGAACAAGTTAATGTTTTTTCTTTAATTATAATCTATTCTTGGGATGAGACGTTAAACTGAAGGTCCTGACTCTGTGTTAATTAAACATCCCAGGATGTCCTTCGGAAAAAGAGAAGGGGTGTAACCCTGGCATGCTGGACGAATTTTCTCATTGGCTTCTATCAATCATCATGGCCTCCTGATCCTCCCCATATACTGACTGGTTCATCACTCAGTCTCCTCTCCACCAGTAAGCTGGTGTGTGATGGGCGTTCTGGAGCAATATGGCCGCCGTCGCATCATCCTGGTGGATGCTGCACATTGGTGGTGGTTGAGGAGATTCCCTCCTTTTATATGTAAAGCGATTTGAGTGCCGAGAAAGTGCTTTATAAATGTAAGGAATTATTATTAGTAGTAGTAAGTTTGTCTGAGTGGAACAGTATCTACAGGGGTTGGACAATGACACTGAAACACTGACCAACACAGTGTTTCACATCTATACATGTGTGGCCAATCTTCCATCGGTAAGAGAGTAGAGCGTGAAGGTTGAATTAGCAGAGCTATAGCTCAGCTGTACATAAAATATAGCAATCCACACAACATAATGGAGGACATATCCGAGTTCAAAAGACGCCAAATTGTTGGTGCGCATCTCGCTGGCTTATCTGTGACCAGGACAGCAAGTCTTTGTGGTGAGTCGAGACGAGTATCCAGTGTAATGTGGGCATACCATCACGAAGGACACACCACATCCAATAGACACAAGAGGAAGCTTGTCTGACAGGGATGGCCAGGTACTAACCCGGGTTGTATCCAAACCACAGCTGTCCAACTCACAGCAGAGTTAAATGCGCAACTTGTTTCCACAAAACTGTTCGTCAGGAGCTCCACAGAGTCAATGTTCGTGGTCGGGCTGCTATTAGGCCTGTCACTTTACGTTCGAAAATCGATTGCACAATCGATCAGACCAACCAACACAAGTATCGAAAACGAAAATAGGGAATCTATTTTAATGGCCTTCCTTCGGATCGCGTTCAGCTCGTCATGACACGCCCGCAGCGAACGCGCGTCACACAGCGACTTACAGCAAACTATAGACCCCTTTTCAGTTGACGTTTTTTTGTGGGCGGAGCTTAGGTGGAGGCATAACGATCCCTCTGGCCGCTTCACTAACGTTAGTTTGCAAGTTTTGTTAGCTTGTTTTTTAATAATGACTGAAGAAAATCCGATTTTATCTTAATGTGTAAGGTCACTCACTGTCCAGGACCGCGATTGTTATTTGCAAAAGTTAATTTTAACGGACGGAACCAGATTGGCTGACCCGTACACGCTCACTCAATGGATGGACGATCTGACAGGATTCACCAAGCGTGCCGCACAAGCCCTGAAAAGTGAAGCCCAAGCGTCTCGATCGCCCCCCGGTGACCGGTCCTATATAGCTCATAAACCCCGCCTCCCCATGTTATTCAACGGCACGTGAGACCAACTAAACAATTAAATTACACTTCAAATATCGTTTTTGCAAAGATAGTTTCTGTCATTTACTGTAGTTATCACGCTAATGTAATTTCAAGTGTTTGTTTTTAAAATAAGTTTGTTTTTAGTTAGTTATTTGATGCGGTGATAACGTCATGATTGACAGCTGTGATTGACAGGTTCTCTGAGCGAAGTAGTCACTGAAGCACCAACAGACTTTTTTTCGGGATCTTCGGAGGACCGAGGAGATTCGAGCTTTAAATTTAATATCTAAATTTCAATAATTCATTTTTAAAAAAGTGCAGGAGCGTGTTCTTGCGGTTGATTCTGCGAGAGTGAGGGCGGGGCCTTGATTTTTGCGGCTTTACTTCCGGCTCACGACTGCACCGGTCTGGTCCCAAAATCGCTTCTGCGCAGACTCAAGTCCCAAGATGTCAGCGCCATATCGGGACACTGGCGGCTTCACTTCTGACCAATGGAAGAGAGCGAAGGGGCGTCGTCCATCTTTTTTACAGTCTATGGGATTGACGTTAACGCTACCTACGGTTGAGTGGCCTGACTTCTACACCTATCCGATAGAGAAACCGAGCGTAAAGAGAAACTGAGGGCATATAAATCTTTAGATGCCTATAACTATGTGCTGAATGGTCATGTACAAGACTTGTATGGTACGATCCGCAGTTCTGCCGAGCCAGCGCCGAGAAAACGACAATGTAAAGAGTGACATTACGGTGCGATTTTAATGATGTGAATATTTTCTAGAAATAAAAATTCCAGATACAGTATATTCATTTTTCATTGATTCTTGCACCCAACAACACAACAAGATGACATTTAATAATAATAATAATAATTTAAGCTCCTTATTATGTAGCCGAATCTGTGCTGGTTTGTATTAAGCTGCGTTCACACTACACACGACACGATACCATTCATTTTCAATGGTGAGCGGGCGACTTCCGGCGACACGCGCGGTCGCGACCGTTGGCGACTGGATGGGGCGTGTCTGACGACGCGACAAAGTTGAGATCTGTTTAACTTTATGCAAATGCAGAGCGACTTTCGGGAGCGACAACCAATAGGAGTGAAGTCAGTGGAGCGCGTCACTCTTCAGTGCTGAGTCTGACCGAGGCAAGTTGAACGAGAAGGTCGTTTTAGCAGTCAGAAACTGTCCTATTATTTATGATATATCTTCGTGTACATACAGTGGTATTCACCGTACTGACCCCAGATAGACCGGTATTTGCCCGTTTTCTGCAGTTAAATAGCCGCGATGGCAAAGAGCACTCACTGTTTCTCATTCATCTTTAATATTATGCATTTTATGTACTGATTCCATTTATATTTAGACTTTTCCTTCCGAAATATTTGTTTGTAGCGGCAAGAAAACGTATTTGTTGTCTAACATAGAGTAACATCCGTGAATGTCACTCACAAACATTACTAGGCAACCAGTAGTGGGAACGCCCTCCAGCGCAGCCACTGGCGACCTGCAGCGACAAAGTCGCTTGTAGTGTGAGCGCAGCTTTAGCCGCCTCCAGTTGTCCGCTTGTTTTGCCTCCAGCTAGCGCCGTGACGTAACTGTGACGTCGGCGGAAAAGAGGTCTATACTTCTGCATAATGTCTCTTTTTACAACAAAAATGTGAATTCTGCCGGTATTCAGACAGTCTCGTGCATACAGATACAGATTCGGGTTACAATAGGCTACGTAGGTGAAATTTGTTTGACATTTAAATAATCGAAATAATAATTCTAATCATAAACACAGCCATGTTGGAGCCTGCAGTAATGTTTTTCATTGATGTTATGGCAGTCCACTCTGCTTATTGTTTTTCGAGAATGTTACACTCCTGTTTGTGCACGAAACTTCACGCTAATAAATCATCAGAAATATTGCTGACTTGTGCGTCTCAAGCGCCCTCTTTACGTTCGTCCTAATGCCTGTTAGTTGTCCGTGGATTTGCCTATATTTGGCGAAAATGGAAACGTCTTTAGACATGGAAAATCAATTTTACAATGTATACATGTATGTCTCAAAAATCGATCAGGATTTTTTCACAAAAGTGACAGCCCTAGCTGCTATTGCAAAATCTTTGATCACTTGTTTCAATGCTCAATGTCGGTTTCAATGGTGCCAGTAGAGGAAATCTTGGGCACTAATGAGTCTTTCCGCGGGAGTTACGGTGTGGAGAAGCCCCAAAGAGTCTCAACACCTGGACTGTTTCTGCCCGGAGTGAAGCGCGGGGTGGATCAGTGATGGTTTGGGCTGTAATATCATGGCATTCCCCACTGTGCTTGATGTGTGCGTCACTGCCAAGAACTACCGAACCGTTCTAGAGGAGCTTGTGCACCTAATGTTTCAAACATTGTACCCTGAAGGCGGTGCCGTGTATCAGCATGAAAATGCACCAATACACACAGCAACACTTGTGTCAGAATGGTGTGAGGAACATGAAAGTGAAGCTGAACATCTCCCATGGCCTGCACAGTCACCAGATGTAAATATTTTTGAGCCACTTTGGGGGATTTTGGAGGAGCGAGTCAGAAAACGGATCAACATCTCTCAGGACTTGTAGATGAACTGATGCAGTATCGGGCACTAAAGGAGACCCTACACCATACTAATACATTATTGAGGTCTGTTTCAGTTTCATTGTCCAACAATATATGTTATACAGTATATGTTGCATTTGTCAGTGTGTGTACTTTACTCACACGAGTTGGGCGATCCGTTGGGTGTTGGTAAATATGATCCTGATTTCCAGGTCTTGGCTTTGAATCCTTTTTTGCAGCGCTGACAGTCCTGTCCGGTCGTGTTGTGTTCACATTGACACTGTAAGTTGCCTTCCACATACACACACTGAGACGCGTGGAGATTACACTTACACCTGAACGACAGAAAGATGGAGAAACATTATTTGACATTACTTGCATTTTTTGTCAAGCTTTTTACATGCCACTGCTTTAGTTGTACTGTAATACAGCCCATATGAATGATTTGATGTGCAATTTGAATGTGAATTTAAATTTTTATGTTAGTGAATTTGAACATGAATTTTGATTTTTAATATTAATGTCAGTGTTATTTTATTTGATAAAATACTATTATAGTATTGAATAATATTTAGAATTAGATTTATTTTGATATTTTCAATTTTCATGGTTAAGTTCAAAGTTTAGTAATAGTTCTTCATCCTAGTTATCTTCATCTTCAAGTTACTTGCAAAGGCAAAATTTCTTATTTATTTTTGAAGTTTTTCCCCTAATATTTATAAAAAGCTTCAATTCAATTCAGCTTCAATTCAATTAACAAAAACAATATTTAAAAATGTTTGTTTTAGTTAACAATAATGACTGGGTAATGTGAATTTTTATATTTTGAAATCAGTGTTATTTTAATATTATTTATATAATATTATAGTATTTAATAATATTAAGAATTAGCTTTTTATTTTTCATTTTAATTTCAGTTTAAGTTTTAGCAATTGTGTTATGTGCTTTTGTAATTTTTGTATTTATATTTCAAATATATTAATTTTCAACCTTATTTTATCTTATTTTTTATGTTATGTAATATTTATATTTTATTTTATTAACTTTATTTCAATTAACTAAAACCATATTAGTTTTAGTTTTAGCTACAGTAACAATAATGACACTGGTTAATGTGAATTTGATTTAAATTCTAATATCACATTTTTTTATTTGAATGTGAACATAAATGTGATTTTTTTTATATTAATGTGCATGTAATTTTGCATCTGAATTTGATTAACTTATTTTTCTCACACCATTTTTTCTTTCAAGAAAAAAAGACAGGGAAAAAGTATTTGAGACAGTTTTGACTGTGGTTTTAATTGATTTAATGTGCCAAAGTCATCAAGAAATGAATGAATACGGTATGAAGGCCAGTAGAAGCATTTCAAACCACCTTTATAAGTTGCGCTCAAGCGGGGTCGAGTGCTTTCAGAGACATAAATACAAGTGTGAGTGTGTTTTGGCAGGTGGAAATGCATCCAGAGCAATGAACACAGGTGTGCTGCTGTAGATTGGGCCCAGTAAAGCAGAAATGAGCGTTTGTGTAAGACCAAATGGCCCTGATCCTAAATGAGACTTTTCCACCTGAGCAGAACAGTGTGTGTGTGTGTGTGTGTGTGTGTGTGTTACTATCGAGCTTCAATCCAGTTTGTTCCGCTGGAGTGAACATGGATCCATCAGCATCAAATATTCACAACATCATCCTGTACCTTGAGCCAACCCTCATCTATCTCTCTCACACTCTTTTTTTCTTGCTTTTTCTTTCCCACTGCCTGTGAACACTTCTCCCCCTCTTTCTCCTTCCCTCCATCTCCTTTAACCTCGTTCTCCGACACCATTGCTCTTCCACCATGCGGTGCAGTGTGTACTGAAGTGGTCTGACTTAAGCTGTCTGTAGTGAGACGTGTTACTTCATTTATAAGACCTTTCCGTGTGCGTCAATGTGCACTTTCAAAAATAAAAGCTACAATTAGGGTTTATAGCCGAAAAGGGTTTAACAGTCTAATGCCATACGTAACATTTGACCTTTTAAAAGCTTTACAGACGTTTTTATTCTCCAATTGTTTAGAAAAGCATGTGTGATCTGGTGCTTTAAAGAACGCAGAAACCAAAACAATGATAAATGAATATGCATATGTGATGTATAAATGGTCATGTGATTATGATGTCATTAAGTTATTCATGAGTGAAGAACAACCCTGTTGTCCATCTTATGACCTCTTTAAGCGTCGCGAGAGTCATTCTGAACGGACGACGAGTTTGAATGTTTCCCTAGCTGTTTTCTCTGTGGGATTTGCAGTGTGGTGTGGTGTGTGTTAGCCTGGTAACACATAAATTGCATAAATTGTATCTTCATTTTAATCAACAAATTGACTGTATTAATAAATAAGAAGCAAATATAGTAGACAATATAGCCTACCGGTAATTAGGACACGGAGGCGCCGGCGCGTGAACTGGAGCGTCTCATGAAATGAACCGAAACTCAGCGTATAAGATACTTGTCTCGCATACCTGAGAAGTATAGAACGATTGAAATGTCTACTTTTAAACCAAATAATTAAAAACTAAAAGAAAGTGTCTGCTCTCTGCTTATGTAGGCTAATTCATATGAAGTGTGCATTTCTCTCTATAGGCGCGTTCACTACTGCGAAGGTGGCGAGTCTGCATCTCAACTTTATCTTTGCAGCCACAGACATAGAAAACTATGTTGAACAGAACACTGCCAGGCTAAGACAATGCATGCACTGAGACAAAAATGTATTTGACCACATATCTAAATGTAGGGGAGACAGTGAATAACTCCAATTTAAAAAAACGGTGGAGTGTTCCTTTAAACCATAGGTTCTCAAAGTGCGGCCCGCGGGCCAATGGCGGCCCGCCGAAACATTTCTGGCGGCCCGCGATAACATCTGTAAAACTGTTAAAACTATTGCTTTGAAAAAATGAATATCTCCGTTTAGTGGTGTTTAGCGGCATAGGCATAAGCGGTAATTACATGGTCCGACCGACCGATCGCACTTGACCTCACTCCCAAGGCCACCAGGAACAGTGGTTGTCTACACAGGAATAGGAATCGTGGCCAACCGAAACCAGCACCACAAATCCCATTGCAATTTAAAATGGTATGTTGACCAAGTAATCAATATTCAATGTGACTTAATAATAATCTTAACAATGTCAATATTAATAGCCGCGTTTCCATTACCTTTCAAAATGTTCGCGGGCGCGAACACTTGCATTTTCCTATCAACAGTGGAAACAACTTAAAACTAGTCTATCATTTCTGGTCATACAGAAAATAATAATGCATTATTCGCATTTGTGTAAACTCATAACAAGAAAACGTGCTTTTGTAAAATAAAATAAAACAATAGCCTGGCTACTACGCGCTTTCATGATCTCCGTGAACTGGAGCGCGAGAACTGAAACAAAATATAGCCTATGTAGGCTAAAGCTTAAAATGTGCACTTTTAAACAAACAAACTCGAATCGAAAGCAAATACCTGATTATGTAATCCGTATGAAAGGTGGATTTCTCTCTAAAAGCGCATCTGCTTAACAGCGGAGATGGAGATATGTTTTTAGCCGACACTTAGAAAAGAATAGTTTATTAATAAACAATTAAAATGCCTCGCTGTTTTTTCAGACGCATTTATTATCATTAGCCTATAACTCACCTATAAATCAGGCTAGATCAGACACGTACAGGCTATATGGCTCTTCTCATTCATCACTGCGGGAAAAATATAAATTCCAGGTTCTAATTTGGCCTTAGAAAACCAGTAAAATCGACATGTTTTCCATATTAATTTGTGAATATTTAAAATGTTTAATAAAGGGGCAGAAAGTCATTTAAACAAAAATCTGAAAAAGTCTGTCGATATTAACTTTTTTTGCGCAGCAGTTGGTGAAGCCAGTTCAAATTAAAATTTTGTTCAACTTTGCGTTTTAAAAAGACAACAACCGTTCATTTTTCGTTTTTCAGTTACGGGTTAAAAAAGATAGGCTAGATAATAATATGCAAATCTGCAATAATGGAAACGCGACTGACAAGCAATGATAGAAATGAATGATGATGATGACTTGTTTGGTAAGCTTCTATTTTAAAAGTTTCTTTCTCTCCCAACCAAAATTTTCACAAGTTTTGCCAGGTTTAGCCTCAGTTATGAATTAAAATGTGTTTATTGCAACTAATGTAAACTGTAGAGATGCAACCTGGTCATAAATAATTTCAAATGGGATTTTCTTTTCAGTTTTTTTTTCTTCGTTTTCTCCCCCGCCACTTTGGCGGCCCTCAGTTCAATGTTGGGTTCCTAAATTGGCCCTCACCTATCAAAACTTTGAGAACCCCTGCTTTAAACTGTGTTGAGCCTTTTATTCGTTCTTATTAGACACTGTAGATGAATACGTTTGCCTTGGTTGTATTGTATGTATAATTTTGTATTCAATAAAAAAAATGTCTTGATCAGATGATGAAGGCGTCTGTTCAGGGCATCACCTCATGACCGTCGACACGTCACTTCCCAACACAAACAATACACGCCCCATAGCATAACCCCACCCTCGACACTGATTGACAGGTTTCCGTGTAGGCATCGGAAATGCAAATGCTAAGGGAATTGCGATTCCATTTTAGTTTGGGCTGGCTACATACGCGACACCTGAGAAAGTGAAAAAGCAGACGTGGTAATTGAATTTGCTATTTAAATATGACAGGGCCAAAACTCGTAAGATATGGGAAACACAGTTGCAAACGGACTTGTCTGAAGTATAAAATCATTGGTTACCCGTAAGCCAATCACATAACGTTTGGTTATGATGTGTGTTATTCGCCAGCTCAGCCGCATCGAACTTCCACTGTAAACACATGTATGATGCGAAAACGAAACCATCGAGCGAAATACCGGAGTGAACATGGCTGACCGAGTTTTGCTGCCTCCTTAACCTGATCCTCCATGAGTGCGACCAAGGGGGACACAATCACAACTATCGCCTTGCCCAGTTTCTCGCTGACGATCGGTAATAGTTGATAAATTAAACTTTTCCCAAAACCTGTCGGGAGTAGGGCCACGACATCACCTCCATTCAAAATGTTTAACAAACACTCTTCTTGTTCGGCCTTCAGTTTGCAAATGCCGGAAATATTCTCCACAACAGAGCTAATTGCATCCCGTGTCTCCACGGCCCTGTCCCAAATGGCGCACTTCATGCGGACTTTCGGTCTCGTGGACTTAAATTGCTCGTGCTCGCCGAGTCTACGAGTCCGTAGGCCGTCCCATTTAGCATTTTAACGCTCTGAAGTGTGCTCAGCAGCGCCCCCTGTGTACCCTTGAAGCGGTCTTCCGCGAAG